CAGGATTGGTAGTCTGGCCCAGCTGTGTCTTCCTCATAGGCTCTGCTAGTGATTGCAGGAGTGTGTCTGACCCTGGCTTCTCTCGCTGGATGTGACCATGACCTGAAGGTTTATCTTCCTGGCTTGATCTTGGGCCTCTCTCATCGCTGTGGACTCACCTGGAGATGTGGACTCTCAGTGGAACATGGCTGCTGTTGCTTGGCCTGCTTGTCATGCTGGGGTACTGCAGGAAATATCTACAAAGATTATAAATAGAAGTGAAAACTACTTTTGTACTCTGAAAGCAGTGTATTTGGCAAAGTTATAAGGATTTTAAATAGAAGTCTTAATTACTAATTTGCTTTTAATGATTTTCTTTTCCCCTAAGTAGTTGTAGAGGGGATATTTAAAGTTTTTTTTTTTATTATTAAAAGATATATGAATTTTAATGATTTGTTCCCAAATAATGTTTTCTATAGTACTGATGATGTTTTGATTTCCCTTTTCAGGTCCTGTCTCTCACTGAAATACTCTGGCCATGTGTGCTTTTCTTGATTCTGGCTGTAATCCGCTTCCAGGAGCCCCCAAAATACAAGGAAAACTGTATGTTTTGTTTCACCTGTGTTCATTCTGATTGTCTCTGCTTGTAGAAATATTTAAGAGATATTAAAGTTGTCCTAGAACCGGGGACTTAAATGTAGTGGAGTCATTGGAAAGAATCCTACAGTGGGATTCAGTCTTGTCTAGCTATGGATCTGAGCAAGTCATATTTAGGTGGGAAAGAAATCAAAATTTTAAGGTCTGACTTGTCAAACCAGTTTTAGACATCTACTCTGGAGTAAGGTGGATTACTTTGTATTTATGTCTTTCTATTGAGTAAGGGAATTTAGATGACTGACTCAGACATAGACAATTATGCAGTAGTTTTTAACAGTTAGACAAGATGAATTTTGCCCCTATCAACTTCCTGAGATTTAGAATGAACATTTTGTAAATAACAAATATTTCCATTTCCATCAACGCTTTAAAATTTGTTATGACTACTTCCACCTTATGAAGTTCTTTTGCTTTTGCCTTATCAAACATTCATTCAGAAAAGAGTGACTTATGACGCTATAGTCTATTCAGTTTATTATTCTCTTATTCACAGATGTCAGTAAGCTGGGGATAAACCAGCTTTGACTACCGTAGAAATCAATTTGGTAAAACAATTATAGATCTATAGAGTGAAACATCTGAGGAGAATCTAGCCTGCACTATATACATTTATTTTAGACTAACCCTAGTCTGGACCCAAGGATGTAATGCATGTTAATGCTTTAAGTACATAAGTGTGCTCTTGGAGTACATCTTCTGCTTTGTTTTAGCAGAAAGGGGTCCAGTGTACGTGCTTGGAGAGCTTTCTAAATGTGAACTGGAGTGTGCTAAGTAAAAATAAGTCATCTGCAAATGGCACTGGTCATTCACAACTAAAAATGTTATAGATCAGGTACAGTTCCTGAGGAATGAAGGATGGGTTGACTAATGGTGCAGTTTCTAATAGTACATGTCTCAAAAAATATTAGCACCTGAATTTAAATAAAATTGGAATTTTTAAGTATCATGTACATGTAGTAAATTACACATTTCTGCATCTTTCAATTCTGAATACTCAGTAAGAGTGCTAGCCCAAATGCTAGCTTTCATATCTCCTCCTCATTTCATTCCCTTAATTTTGATGTAATGGTTGCCAAAGAAAGGTTATCCAGAAGAAGAGGGGAGTGACCTTTCAAGTATTTCTCAATTTTAGCTGTTTTAAACAGAGAAATTAAGTTGAATAGGAAGCCTATAGCTATTTCTTATGTTTCAAAATAAGCAAAAAGTTGTTTTCTGTTTTGAAGTTTAAATTCTCAGAACTATGGACAGAGATGAATAAATTCCAGAGAAGTTTTGCTGTTTAGACAGTCTTGACAGATGTACATTCAGACATTGCTGAATACCAGTTCCTTCATCTCATGAAAGCCTGGGAGAAAAGAGGAGATACTACTTTGTGACGAAGTCTATATTCTAATCTAGGTCACAAGTCATTTTGGACAGAGAGGCTAGCAAGCATATGACGTTGCAGGGGTGCTACTACTGTGAAAATCAGCTTTTCAAAGACTCCTCTCGAATCTTATATCCTGTTGTCACAGTCTGACACAGAAGTTACTCATTTTCTGTGGTGAATTAGTTGTTTTTAAATGGGACACCTGCCATCGATACAACGTCATAGTTTGTAGGTGGCAAAACTGCTTTCTAGGAGGAGGGAACACAATGTGATGGCACCGGTTTGTAACTGCAGTGTCACTGGTTTTAATTCTGCTGCTGCTTGGTTTTAGGCTACTTAGAAGCTCGGGATTTACCAAGTGGGGGCCTTTATCCTTTCATGCGGACTCTTCTCTGTAATGTTGGTTCAAGATGCAAGAATACTAGTTATACAACACAGAAAAACAACCGCTTACGGTAAGTTGTACAAGTTTGACAGAGCTGTCAGTATCACAGTGTATTTTTTCTCCAGCAAAGGTTCCTGTGGTCTTGTAGACAGGTAGAATAGGAGCGTTGTTACTCTGTGCTAAAAGTTTCCTTCGTTGTCCTTACGAATACAAAAGATGTAGGGCCTTAGTTGTGCCTCTTCCTAACTTGTGTTTGCCTTTCTTGAGCATTTCATGCTGTTGTTAGATACTGAAAACTGTTTTGGGGGAAAATTGGAGAGGTACCTTGTGATATTCTTGCCCTTCACTGCTGCCGTATTGAGAGCATACTTTTATCCTTCACTAGAAAGTCTTCTATTACATGAAGGTGAGATTGAGCGACAAAAAATATATCATACATGGATTTCAACTTTGGATATTTTGTGAGCATACATGGTGGGAGAAGTAAACACAGAAAAGCAAAACAAGGGTAACTCTTGTGTAAGACCCACAAAGAGCCAAAAAGGAGTAGCAGAAGCTCCGTAATAAAAAGAACTTGAAAAAGTAATCTGTAAGAGGGCCTTATCACAGGATCCCAGAATGCAGAAAGAAAAAAGATGAACTTGAATTTGGGCTTTTTCTTTAAGAAATGTAGTGATTTCATCTACTTCAAAAAGCTGAAAAATATTGAGATACAAAGACACTTATGCAAATTGGCTGAAGGACATAGTTATAAGCAACCTTTCAAAAATATATAGCAATAAAATCGTATTAAGGTGAGCTAATCAGAATATATGTGTGTCAATATGCATGTTTATTCTTAGGAAATTGAGAGTATCTACCAAAAAAGATCTTAGACGTTAGAGCCAGGAAAGTGTGTAAGAACATCAAGTTTTATGGTTTATTATTGTAGAGGTATTGTATAGGTACCGATAAATTCAGCATGTAGCAAGTTGGAAAGCTTCAGTATCACAGTAATATGCCATAATACTTACCGTCTGATCTAGACAGTCTCTTCTAGTTATTTGTACAAGTAGAGGACTGTTGATTGAGCATATGACCATGTAAAATCTTGTTTATGGGCAAACACCTTCTACATAAAAAAGCAATATTTTGTTAATAGAATTGAAATCTTAACCATTTAAGCCATGAATCATTATTAGTCCAGATCTGTTATTACACAAAATACTTATATACAGAAATAACTGTATTACCTAAACAAAAATTCTCCAAATATTAATAATACGGTTAAAATTGTTACACAACCATTTAGTTTCTACTCCTTCCCCTGGGGTTGTGCTCAGCTTTCCACTGCTGCTCTGGGTCATAAGGTCAGTGGCTGCAGTCTGGTGGTGGTGGGGTTGTTATGATAAGTCATGATCTGGAGCCTTTTACCCGGAGGAACATGGTGTTGATGGCTTCTTTTTCACTCTAGGGTGCCCTTGGGGTCACTTATGTTTGCTGTTGTGCTTTTATACCTTGCTTGTTCTCCATTGGTCTGCATCTGTGATACATCTGAATTTATATGGTACATCTGAATGTATATGGTATATTTACGTATGTTAGGTACCTGTTTTTTTTTTTTTGATGTTTATAAATTGGCTTTGTCTGGCTATAGTTCTGCATTTTAACTGACCACTGGTGGGTTGTTTATAGCCATGGGGCCCTCATGCCAGCCAGTGTCCCATCTCTTATCATCCCAGATGTGTACTCCAGTACAGTGCATCCTGTCTTCCCATTTCTGAAGGCCTCTACTGTTATCCTGGGAATCTGTTCCACTGCACTGTTTTGTTATGTTAATCATAAATATATCATTCTGTACTGAATGATCACTTATTACTATTCTCTGTATGAAACTATGGTGGCATTATACAATGATAAGCGAAAGTAAAGCAAATAGCCATGGCAATCTATCCAGGAAAAAAGAAGTTAAAACACAACCAAGTCAAAAACAAAACTGCAGGCAAATTAAGACAAGTTCAGGCAAAGCAAAGGCAGCAAGCCTCTGTGCCATGGTCTTGCAAACTCAGTACAAAGACTGTAGCCTCTTACTTGCAGCGGCAATACTGTATTACTGGATTTGAGAGTTACAATAGCTGTTGCCCTTTTAAAATATTGTTTCCCTAAAAGGGTAGCTTTTGTCTGTATCGCCGGCCAGATGCCATCTAAGTGTGTTAAACCTCTCGAAACTGTGAACTATACTGACTGCTCTGCAAGATTATTTACACTGCTTTGACTGAACTGCCCAAATTATATTTCAGCTGAAAAGAAAAGCACGAAAGAATTTCCTGGAGGCAGTCTTAGACCTACTTAAGAATTGGAGAAATTATTCAGCGGCTTTCAATTTTTCGGCTGAAAAATGAAATGCATGCATGTATGCATATTTATACACACAATAGGCTACACTGAGTAACATACAGCCTAGGTTAGAAAAGGGATAAAAAGGTAGGATGAAGTTCATTCCGAGGTCAGTCTATTCCAGCTGGTCCATCAGTGTAAATTAAATCAACCTAGGGCTGCTCTGACTTATGCTGGCTGCCAATAGCCTTAGGAATACAGACGGTAGACTTGATCAGCCAAACGTAACTGAATCCCACAATGTCCTTGTGTGGACTGGAGAGAAGGGGTGGCATAGTAACAGTAATACCAATTATCTTTCCTTTGAGGAACTATATAAAAACATAGGTGGTTCTTTAAATTAATTTTCAGGGACATTTTTGCATCAACAATGTTGTGTTTATTAAGGATAAATCAAAGACTCTGTGTAGTTTGCATGGACACAACCCATTTGTTTTCAGTGTGTACCATATCAGTGCTATCAGTTTGAAATACAGTTGTCTTTTGGAAAAACTAATTCTATGACTTTTATTGGAACCTCTACTATGAAAGCCATAAACCACACAAACAACTATTTGTCATTAAGCAGCCTGAGCAGGGCTGCTCCATGACGGGGGCTCAGCCAGGGGTGGAAGTCATCCTGGTGCAGGCCATGCCCTCACAGATGTGGTGCCATCCCCTCAGGCAACAGGCTCCATTAACCACTTCCCATGTGATGAGAAGATGAGCCAGGTGAAGGCTACAACTACCTCATTAACTTTGATTTGCAGCAAAATCTGCCACCTCCTCTGTCTTGGAAAGCATTTATTTTTCAACAGCTCTGAGGCTTTGCTCCTTGTTTGTATCTTCAGCCACTGCAAAAGCTGCTGGCTTGCTCTTTGTGATTCCCTAGCCCGTTACACCCAGCAGTATCTCAGAGCAGAGGAGTACGGAAATACTTAGGAACTCCCATGGCAAAGGACTTTTTCCTCCTGCTCTTTCTAGAATGTTCTACCTACCACCTCATCTTAATGGAGCACAGAGTAAAACTGAGAGCGTGCAAACAAGAGAAAAACCATGCAGCACAGAGTCCTACGGCCTTACACTCGCACTGACAAAGGAGAGCATGTGCCTGGAAACGTAATGTATTCCCCGTACTCCTAATTCTACTGCAAATCTTGCAGAATGTGGTGGGATTTGCCCTTGCAGCTCAGACTCCTAGATCTATGTTTTTTAGGTTTCTCAATACCTAAAAAAAAATTAAGCTTAGCTTTTCTTGGATTTAGAACTACAAAGACCATGAAAACAAGACTCTAAAGTGTTATTTCTAAGCACATTAGTTTATTTGTCCTTATTTAGCTATAAATAGTAGCAGCCTCACCCTGTCGGTGTGTCGGAGTCTCAGGTCTGCCTCTGGCATCTTCTCCTAGATGGACTCCTCAGACCCATGTGGTAGCTCTGCCTTCTTTTGCACCTAACTGGACTCCTGGACTCATCTTGCCATGTTGGGGCTGTTGCTGGAGCCTGTGACCTGCCCTGGGTCTGCCTGCTGGCTAGGATCCTGGGGGACTATTGGTCCACTGGTAGGGCATGGCCTCCTCAAGCTTCTAGTTTGTCCCTCCTCCTGGAGCAGCCCCATTTGTGCTGGTCCCTTTCTTGTTATTGGTTTTATTGATACCTGGGCTTCTTGTTCTCTGGTGGAGTAGTATCAGAAAAACTCATGTACAAAAGCACATGTGGAAAAACAAAATCAAGGGAAGTCTAAGCAGCAATGATAGCACTTGAATAAGAATTACTTAGAGGGTCAAATTTTTCTTTAGTGATGTGTAACTTCAAATGAAAACAAGAAAAATTCTGCGAGATAGCTGTATGTCTGCAGCAACTTTTCAGGATAATAACCCTGTGTGGTCTGGGCCAGCTTGTGTAGGCTTGTGCTGTGTAGTTGGCAAACAGAAACCTAAGCAATTTTTGCGATCTTGCTCATAGATTGTCAGAGAGTTGGGGAGAAAATGAATTTTAAACATGAGTTTTCTCCATTTTATAGCCAATTAAGGAATGCTTTTTTGTTCTTTGTATTTTTTGGTCCATTGCATTTTAGAAGTGTTATAATAGTATGCAACATGGAGGCTAAAGATCTTTCTGTGTCAGACATGAAGTGAGCTATTATCCAGCATGTGTATTGGTGTTGATGGGGATGTCATGTCTCCGGGCTGTCCCAAGACAGTGCAGAATGCGAGCCAGCACAGCTGGGGCTTTGCAATTTTAGAGATAAATTTTTAATGTGGTTACAGGGTTGAGGTTGAGACAAGAGTTTGCTGAGAGGCTTATGAAAATCACCAGTCTACATGGCATTGCACATCATAGGTAGATCTCAGATGAGCTCTGAAACGTTCTTATTGTCATCCTGAGTAATTGGGTAATTTGGACAGAATTAGTGTTTGAGTCATGGCTTTAGGAACTGTTAATTGCTTTTACATGCTCAAAGAGATGCAGTCTTTTTTCTCTTTTGCAGTGTTTTGTCATGGTCGGAACTCATATGAACATATTTCTTTAGTTTGATTTCTGTCCTCATGCAAGTATTTTTGGACATGCACGATTAAGGGAAGAGTTACCATGATTGATAATGAAATTATATATACACACACTCCCCCTCCTTCTCCTAACCCACCAATTCTAATTATGTACGTCCTCGCCTACAAATTACTGGCTTCCTCCTTTTGTCTATTTTGTCGCTTCTCCTCTTTATTGTTCCTAGCAACTGCTGCTGTTGACTTCCTTTACACATACACATGTAAGTCTTCTGGTCCAGAAAACGCACATTGAAGGCTCTTTGGGAGAGTAGCAGTACAACAACTAAGTATTTTTCTTGGCACGCTGTCTGAAAATTGCTTGCCTTAACTGTCCCTGCAGCTGGTTTTGAAGTCTAGTTTCTGATCTTTTTGGCAAGTTGGTGACATCTTCCTGCAATTTTGTGTAACTTGCACTGAATTAAGAACTAGTAGTATCTCATAGCAGTCTTACTAGAAGATAAATATGGTCCCTTATTACCACGTTGAAAATATATTAAATCCTTTCAAACTTAGCTCAGATATTCAGCAAATAGAACCTCTGTAATATTTTAATCTTTTTCATAAAATTGAGCCTGGTAACTAATATGCTGGTTGCCATTTCCTCTTCCAACGGAGGTTGTGCTCAGCTCCAAGAATAAACAGATGAAGGGCTGTGGCAATGACGGCAAAAGAGGGGCGGGAGTGGCAGCTGGCTGACATCACTCCTGCCCTGGAAATCACCATAAAGCTGATTGTTCAGAAACAACATGACCAAATGGCAGCTCCTGTCCTGCTGAGGGGCTTGAGCTTGGGAGTGTGGTGTTCCTATGAGTTTTTCAGGTTGCACATGCTGCCTTCTTTTCTGTAATAGCTGGGACTTATGACTGGTTTTTGGTCCTTCTTCTATACCCTAAATATCTACACCCCCCTACTCTTTCCCAGCTCCCTCTCCAGTTTCACCATTAACCTGATTTTTCCCTGCGCTTCTCCCTGGAGCTTTTCAGAGTCACCATGCTTCAAGTCCTGCCAGCTGTTTTCTGTGATGTTTCTAGTCTGCGCCTCTTCCCCAGTGCCCCGTCCCCTCGCCGCGTGGGACCCTTCGCAGGGCAGTACCCAGCCCTCAAGCCCGGAGACACTGAAGGGACAGCACAGCTGAGCTTGCTGTCCTGCTGGGGCAAGGGGCAGGGCAGGAGGGCTAAGCAGGCTGCTGCCTTGCATGATGCCCAGGGCAGCATGACCTGAAGCCTTTTGCACAACTTCTTGGTTCAAAGGAAAGTTTACAGCTACTAATGAAACGTTTTGAAGCCAAGTGAGGAAGAGCAGATAGCATTTTTCCTCACTCAAACTGGGGGTGAGGGAGTTCAGTTTTCCTCTTGTTTGACAAGCTATTGCAATATAAAAGTTATATTGCTATAACAGACCCTGCTTATTTATTACATTTGCTACCTACCTGCTCTGAGAACTACTCTCAGGTCTGCTTGTGCAGTGTGAGGCTGAATGGTTTCTGGGCTGGGATTCAGATGAACAGAAGTGGGTAATGATCTCGCAATTCAGTCTGTGTTACTGGGTGTGCTTCTGCTATGTATCAAACTGGTGGCTACAGCACATACAACTAGATGCCAAGACTTTTTTTTTTTGTTCCCCTGCTCTTTATCAAACCAAGCTTTGCAGACCCAAGGTGCAGCAAAGTCAGTGACGAGGGTGCAGGAGAAGGAGTTACCGACTCCCTGTGTCACTGTTATCTGCACAACCTGCTGCGGGCATGGAGGCCAGGCAGCACCAGCAGCCCGGGAGCTGGTGTTGAGTCCAGCCATATGCTGGGCTCACTTCTCTGTGTGTGAAAGTGTCCTTTTTCCCAAGAGCATTATTATTTGCAATGCTTCTAAATCAGGGAGATTTGTACATGAGGATGCAAGGTTTTACGTCTAGTTTGGAGAGAAAACAATATGGGTTGAAATATTGCCTTTATGCTCCACTTCTCTGAATATTTGTGATTTAAGTGACCTTATTTGGTGAGTTTAGTTGTCAATTTCAAGTTCAGCAAGTATTGTGAAAAACAAAATCTGTGGAAACTGAGCTAGAGTATTGTTTTTATAAAGTTCTGACTGGATTAACCAGACAGTGTTTTAACCAATGTGGTGGTGGTTATTCTGGCCAAGCACTGGCCACTGGTTCATGCTTAAAAAACCACAATGCTAGAAAGTTTTCAGTATACAGTTAGTGTTCCTGTTCTTTACCAAGTACCAGTGTTTCCAGCTGGCTGAAATTTCAGGCAGTAGGTGTGTTAGTAATATTGGAATTTATGTGGTAGTTTTCAAAAGCAATAGCTAAAGTGCAGCTATTAATCACCCTAAAAGCCACTTTCTGAACAACAGAAACCTGCTTTTAGAAATTCCATTTAAAAGGAAAAAAGAAAGTGAGGAATTGTTCTGTCTTTAATCTACTGAAGTTTGAGGCTGGTGAAAGAGTTTTCCAAAATCCTCCTGGCTGTCAGCCAAGAGGGGATCAAAATAAACTGCACTGAAACAATCAACTTGATTGTTTCAAGATGAAGTTTTCGTCTCATCCCTTAGTCTAAAGTTGCAGACAGCTCTGTGGGTGTCTGAACGAATGAGGATCAGGGAGGGAGAGAAAGAGAAATGAGAGAATCGGAAAGCAGTGGCTAATGTTTTTGCTTTGGTTTGTGAATCTACTTGATTAGGTTTTTCTTTACCAGTAAGAATCATGCTCAAAACTAGTATTCGCATACAAGTTGGACAAGAAAAGAATGTAAATCTTTATTATATTTTTGTAAGTGGGGCTTATGTGAAACACAGTTAATTGTGCTTCTAATGAAAAATAGCAATATTTTTGCTACACAGGTTTTCACTGTAAGATCATTTGAACTTCCTGTAAGATACAACAGAATTCAACAGCCTAGTAACATGTGAAAGATGATTATTCCATTGTTTATGGTACCTTAGGAGAGTCTAAATAATTTTGTCCTGTAAAGAGACATTTAAATGACTCTTTGACTTCTGATTTCATCTTGAAAGTATTGTTAGAATATTGTTGTGCTATTGAGTAGCCACCAGATGGTAGTAATATAGAAGTAATAGGAATAACATGTACCAGGGGTTTTAGCTGTAAGCTAAAATTGGGGGAAAGCCAGTAGTGATAATAGGTTACTATTTTTATAGGTTGTTGCATGTATTTGAAAAAATAAGCTGTCATATCCCAAATGCAAACTGTATAGGTTTTCCTAACAACATACACTTTTTGTGTGTGAGTCAGCATAGGGCAAAAATATGTAGCCAGACACACCATTCTTCTTTCCTTTTAAGTAGAAGGGTACCTTAAGGAACATGTCATCTGGAATCATATCTTAGTGTGGATGCTTTTTTGTTAAGGTGGTGGAATTGTTATCATAGTTCTGTTGCTTGCTAAACTAACTAAAGAGGAAGCACCAACTTTCTTCAGGGCCCAGATAGAGGGACTTAACCTATATTTCTTCTGGTGATCTTGACCAACTTACCTGTTCTGGTTGCAGCGTGTTGCCTTTGATGCAATAGGAAAGCTTGAACTTCAGGGTAGAGGCCATCAAAGACCCATCACTTGGACTCATGATAAACCAGGGGAGAAAAGTTGAGTGTGTTCAGAAACTTCAAAGACTTCTTTGGATGTGTCTGTCTTTGGCTGCTGCCAGAATGGGGTTACTGGTGTAGGTGAGCTGCTACAGCTCAGGAATTTTTCATCGCCCTCTTTCCTGAGGTTTTGCGACTCAGTGCTGCAACTTGCACGCTGATGAACTGAACTAAATAAAAGTTGTGTAAATGCATAATAGTTTAAAAAAAAAAATCAGAATACTGCTGTGAGTATATATACGTTTTTCAGCTACTTCCTTCCAGTTTGTAATTACCTCCCCTGTCCCATTTATTTCTGTGAAAAAGTACTGCAGGCATCCAGAGTGGTCCGGAGAGATTCACAGGACCTGATCTAGATTTCATGAAAGAGATAGAAGAACTTGCAAAGGGATTTATTGAGACCACAGAGAAAGCCATGGCTTTAGAAAAGCTATGGGAGGAAAGCTCAAAGTTCTCAGGTAAGCTGTGATCTTTCTGATAATGAATTGCTCTGTCTATCAGGTAGTGATAACAATCAAACAAAGGAATATTGTTCTCTTAAAAATAAAATGAACAATCTGAAATTTTAGCTGATCTGAACAAAGGCACTTTCATGATTACTGTTACTGTGGCCATCATAAAATTATCAGAAAAAAAGTTAGCCTTCTAAAGCTGTGTCTTTGTTTTACTACTTGATAGTTAACAAAATACTGTGAGGGGAAAGGGTTAAAGGTAAGGATTAATAATCTGAGTACATTGATACCTGGTCTAACATGCATTCAAAAGTAATTTATCAGGATTTAAGGCTTTCTCCCCAGATTTTTCTGATGGAAAACCTCAGTAACTCACAGCTGGTAACCTTTAGACAAACAAGTCAGTCTCTCACTAAAAGAGTGAGACTAGAAATGCCAAGGTCTGATGCTCTTGCTCTCTTTCCACCCATACTGCACGGCCTTGCTGCTGTAGCACGTGGGCGTTTAAGACCTACTACTACCCTGCCTTTCCATCTGAATTTTCAAGCAGATAGATTTAGGCAAAACAGTAATTTTCATGTCTGGCTGGCTGTGAGCTGGTATGTTCATCTAGTGTCGATGTGATGATCTCGCCTTACTGAAAAGTGAATGGTAAGCAATTTCTTTTAAATTGTTTTTGTGATAATAGCAAAAATATTGGAAAGCACAGAAAATCAAGTGGATCACTATCTATGGTATTAGTTTTTTCACATGCCTTTTACTTCTGTAGAGATGCCCTTTGTGCACTACTTGCTATTGCTTATAAAATTGATTCTTCTGAAGTTAATAATGCTTTTCTGTAAAGAAAAATATTTGATTTTACAGGGCTCCATAACATCACAACTTTTCTTACTGTAAGTATTTTTACAGTCTATTTTTAAATTACAGTTCTGGATTTTGAGGCATCTTTATTATAATGGTTAGAAATTTGTATCCTGTCAAGTTTTAGTAAACTATCTTTAAAAAAATTGGTATGCTGTTGAAGGAAAAAATGGTGTCTTGTGAATTTGATAGAGGTTCAGTGGTTTCTAGATCACTGACTGAAACAAGTCTAGGTTATTAGTAGCTAAAATCCATACCTATCTGAAGGCTAGTTATTCATTGCGAGCAATTTAAAAATGCATTTTGCCAGACCTTGTGTAGTTGTATAAAATCATATTACAAAATGTCTTGCAAGGAACTCTTATTCTAATGTGTACTTAGGTTTTGGGTTGGTTTTTTTAATAATACCCCCACCCCTGCCCCAACTAACCAACCTAAAATTTAAAAAAGGACTGCAATGAGATTGGAAAGACGAAGCTGTTGTTTGAATGAGATGACTTTAAATTCAGATTTGTGATCCAGTAAATATGACAAGCAGACTCAAGTGGGGATGAAGGAAGACAGATTTGCAAGATGTAGCATAAATCCTTCCAAAATCTCTTTGTCAGTTTATATTAAATGAGTTTGGTCTTTGTGCTGTTCCTAATGACTTTAACCTTTACAATCTCAAGAAAAAGAGGAAGGCTGAATGGGCACAGGAGTGGATCTCCATTACTGTCAATTTTGCACCATTCACAGATCACTGGTTTCACTTCAAAAATATTTTAAAATTAATCTTCTACATATTTGACTGGTTGTTACTTCATGAAACTTATGTTTCCAATTTATAACTTGAAAATAGATAACATTTTTATAGTAACATTTTTAAATTGCTCATGAGATGATTGAAAGGATCCGTATCAATATGAAATTTAATTTCAGGAATGGAATATAAAATAGAAAGAATGTATAAAACAGCAGTAAAAAAAATTGTAGAATCATAGAATCATTAAGGTTGGAAAAGACCTTTAAGATCATCAAGTCCAACTGTCAACTCAACACCATTATGCCCACTAAACCATGTCCTGAAGTGCCATGTTTTTTGAACACCTCCAGTGATGGTGACTCCACGACTTCCCTGGGCAGCCTGTTCCAATGCTTGAACACTCTCTCAGTAAAGAAATTTTCCCTAATATCCAATCTAAACCTCCCCTGGTGCAACTTGAGGCCATTTCCTCTTGTTCTATCACTGGTTACTTGGGAGAAGAGACCAACACCCACCTCACCACAACTCCCTTTCAGGTAGTTGTAGAGAGTGATAAGGTCTCCCCTCAGCCTCCTCTTCCCCAGACTAAACCACCCCAGTGTCCTCAGCCGCTCCTCATAAGACTTGTTCTCCAGACCCCTCACCAGCTTCGTTGCCCTTCTCTGGACACGCTCCAGCACCTCAATGTCCTTCTTGTAGTGAGGGGCCCAAAACTGAACACAGGATTTGAGGTGTGGCCTCACCAGTGCCGAGTACAGGGGCACAATCACTTCCCTACTCCTGCTGGCCACGCTATTGCTGATACAGTGGATTTATTTGGAAGTAGCCTCTCATTATTAGTAACAGAACTTGTATACACAAGTTTCTTTTTGTATAAACCGTGCTCATGTTACATTATCCAAAAGAGCCCTAGTAAAATGTTAATTTAGAGAAAAAAGGCTCAAGTATGATAGCTCCTATGTTTTGCATAGGCATCTGATAATGTAGTCCTATTAAAAAAGTGCTTTTACCCCAGTCAGTTCATCTTTAAAGACCCATTCTTATAAATCATTATTTGACACCCTCCATTCACCCACATAAGCAGCTGTGAGGCAAGGATGGCATGTCCCTGGCCATCCCCTGGTGTTTATATTCTAGACTTAGAAATTGTTTGCAGGGCTAATAAGCTCCTTGTGTTTGAGATCTCAAAGATAATCCTTCTCTTTGGGAAAG